AGAATCAAGATAACGGCGTGGTGTTGTTGCAGGAAGTCCCGACGGAGAATACTTTTGCTGTAGTACAGGGGTGCACATAACTGGTACGCAGGTTATGTGCGTAATCTGAAATGCGTACCGTCACTTGTGTCACAAAGCGCATTTGCGTACCGACGTACTTGTGAAGCTTTTCTAGAAGGCGGTTTGATCACCGGACGACAGAGTCGGTCTCCGTGTGCACAGACAGGGCTGCTGTTAACGTCGGTCTGGACAACGGAATTGTACCAAAACTACGCCAACCGGCTGCGGAGGGAGACTCCCCCCCCCTTCACTGGAGAACTGCGCTAAAACAGCTGATCACAACGTTCACACTCTGTGGTCACGAAGTACTCCACTAGCCGCCCCCCCCTCTGTCGACTTTCCTGAAGTACTCCCCCGTTGATAGAAATCAACACGTAATGAATTAAGACCCCACGGTTTGATGATTGATAGGTGTGTGGGTTGTCTTTCATTTTGACACGCAGAAAAATGTTATAATAAACATAGATACTGTATGTGAAATGGATATATCCGCCTTCTTTCATTTATCTTTCCATTCCCACAACAATATACATAAATAAATGGCATATTTTGGACATAGTTCGAATGGTGATTAATCATGATTAATTAATTTTTAAGCTGTGATTAATCTGATTAAAAATTGTAATCGTTTGACAGCCCTAATATATACACTTTTTTTAACCTATGATCAGTGCTGCCTCTGGCCAAATTGAGGCCCTTCGCACTGCACATGTCCTGGTATAGGGAGGGGGGCACTGCCTTGGATCAAATATGTCCCTGTTTAGTCGGGGAAACAGTAGATGTGTGCATTTGATTGTAAAGTTGTGTATATTCACAGAGACTGTTGCAAAATCAAGCAAAAAGGGAATCTTAAAAGTTTTTGGGGTTTAATTATAACACTTTTTTTTTTTAAAGTTATGACAGACCCTGTAACTGGTTATTTTCCTTTCCGTTGAATTGTCAGTCTTGTGCCATGTCAATGTGTGAAGAAATACAGTATATCCTCTGTTGTAGTCACAGTCCATCTGCTCCATTGCTTGAATGAGCTTGCAGGTCCTTCAGCACAATCCACACATGCTGGAATTGCATGTTACAAAAGCAAGGTTACCTTTGACAAAATTGACCTTTCTATAATGTAGCATCTGGTTCTTCTTCAGAGAAAGCCTTCTATTTGACTTCGTCAGAAAAAATAAAGTGTATGCAAACTTATAAACCAATAAAAGTTTATAGTTTTTTTATTTAATGGTTGACATGTAGACATGCTTGCTTGATGAAAATACAGAGGAAAAGGATCCATGTCATATTGACTAATCTTTCCATTTAGCTTCTGAAACAAATTAGTATATTTTTCCAATGGGAATCGGTTTTATAGTTCTGCTCTGTATTTCTCCAACTACTGACCTGTGCCCATTTTGTATTATACACAGTATAAAAAGACCATTTATTTAAACTTGGTGAATCTATAGTTAAATCTACACCCCACAGTTAATCAGTCTGCATGTAAAGTCACAATTTGTGATAGCATCTGGTTAATCTTGAGAGACAGACATACTTTGTCACTTTGTCTCGGAAATAATTGATTCATTGACAAATGAACTTTAAATCCTTAACACTGATTTTCTGCACCGCCTCAAGGCTCAGGTCATGGCTACTTTTATTTTATAAAAGTAAAAAGGCAAAACTTAAAAGAATAACAATGTAGTAGACATCAGGTTGAGAAGAATACAATCCAGTTTACCATTTAAGATTTGGTGTTTTCCCTTTTTGAGGCTACAGGGGAATGATATGTTTTCTCATGAGTATTTGCTTTTACAACCAGGTGTTGTATTGAACAAATAATTTAATCAAGCACATATTTGTTTAAGCAAGGAAGAAAAACAAAAGAGCAATATGCTCACGGATGCACAGTGAGCTGTGAAAGGAAAGCAAAGAAGCAAACTTATGATTATCATCTTTCTTTGGAGGAGTTCCAAACATAAACGCGCTATGATTAGGGTTGGGTACCGAAATCCGGTTCTGGGGGGGGGGGGGGGGGGGGGATGTGTTGCACAGTTGCGGGGTTGGGAAGCAAAACTTGGTTCCGAGTAAGAACAAATAACAATTGTCCGGTACCGGGATTAATAAGTGTTGTGAGGACAGGAGGGCCGCAGCTCATGAAATAAAAATACTATTTATTTACTTTTACAAACAGTAAGCAGCTGGGCAGATGTATTGCAGGACATCTGTTGGACACAGTTGTACAGTTGGACTGTATGGTTGGACTCTGTCTCACCGGCAGGTTGCAGTGTAACATCAGAGGAGACTGGGCCAATTGTACATTCTCAAACTGCTCCACTTAGAACTAACTAAACAATGCAGGGATTATTTTTAATATAATTGTATTCAATAACACCAATACTTAAAACAGTATGAAGGGTTTGTAAATAGTTCTCACTTCTTTTTCCTCATTTAACTCTCGCTTTTCTCTCACTTGCTTTATGTTATTTTATTCAATCCACACGTTGCATATTAGGTGGACTGCATTGCCCTTGGTGGAAATCTGGCATCAATCCCCAACCAAGGGGTGTACACATTTATCAGAAAGATCGTAAACACAGCGACTAACAAAAATGGAGCAACTTGGGTTGGAGGCCATGACTCGTCAAAAGTGAGTGCTTTAATAATATTATATATTCAGTTTTTTACTTGGTAATCTTTTTGATGATATTCCAACAGGTGGGATTTGGACTACATGTCAAATATATTTGTATTTCTGATTGGATTGAATTGACTTGTTTCAGGAGGGTGTGTGGATGTGGAGTGATGGTAGCAAGTTTGACTTCAAGGGCTGGCCCGTTGGCGAGCCCAACAACTCTGGAAAGGGAGAACATTGCATGCAATTGAATTTGAAAGGTATTCACTGATTATGTTATTATCTGAAAATAATTGCCCGATTAATCGATAGCAGGTCTAATTGTTTGTTTGTTAATTTTCAGAAAGAGATTTTCCCAACGACACAAAGTGCACTCAGGAGATGCCTTTTGTTTGTCGCATGCGCCCGTGATGATCCACGTCATGTGATGTCAAGTCTACCAGGGTATCAGGCCTCGATGATATCACTGCGAGAAGACCTATCGACATTTTTGATTTCATTTTTGCTGATGAAATAAACGGATACATCCTGTTCAGCAATCTGTCTCATTTGTTTTATAAAATCTCAATATTTTGATGTTAAACATAAAAATAATTCACACATTTTGATTTCTGTACATTTAGTTATATCTGCATATACTTTTATTGTCATTACACAGTAGGCCTACTTACTATGTAACAAAATGGTTTCTCTGCATTTTACCCCATCCTAGTGTTAGGAGTAGTGTTACTATATATACAATTATAACATTTCATAACATAATATTTTAAATTATTTTGCATTTTGTGTGTGTCGGAGAGAAACTCCTTCTGGAGCTAACTTTGGGATTTTAGCCTTTGCAGACCATTTACATGCACACAAACCTATTTAACACACAACAGGAAAGGGAACCTCCCTAAAAGCATAATAGGGCCCCTTTAAATACAAAAACTGTCCATCATTAGTCCGACAGTGTGACCACTTCCTTCTGATTACTTATTATTTTGTGTAATGATAACTCTTGTCTTTAGTCATGCAGAGAAATAAAGTGCAGGTTGTATCCGCTCCCAAGACACCCAACCACTTCCTGATCCTTCTGACTGTCTAACAAGGTATTGTGATAATTCAAGACATTGTTCTCCACATTCGTACTAAGTCCGAGCTCTGGGTATACACTTATTTCCTTTTCTCTTGTCATATAAGTGTAATTAAAAGATGTTTGTGTTAAATCTGATATGTTATAGTCAGCACCATAGTGACACTCAAGAACAGCCTCTTCAGTAAAAGTTGTAACTGTCATCTTTGATCTAACTACCTGTGAGTGAGTAAAGTTATTCTGTTTAATTTGATACTTCCCGATTGAAAATGGGGAAAGGATCATAAAAGAAAATGTGCCACCACATGTCAAAAATATCAGAAAAAGTCATTGTACAATATGTAAAAAAAAAAAGACATACTATAGTATTTCAAAAATATAAAGAATCATGAGAAAATCACAGTATAGTCAGAAAAATACAAGAAAAGTCACAGTGTGCTATGTCCGAAAAAGTATGTGATACAACAAATGTATAGCAGGGTAGCCTATATGCAGAAATCCTGAAGTCAAATGTTTGTAATGGACCTTTTAAGACCTTTTTTAAGACCCTTTCCATACATTTTAAGACCTCATCGCCACTTCGAGTTTTAACCGGTTACATTAGCGACACACTTTACCTCACATTTACTATATACAGGGCCTATTGATTGTCCTTCCTCCTTATCTTCCAACCATTTGGACGCAAACTTGCATTTCCCCAAAACGATGTTGTTTAACAACCGGCGTAAACGGACCTTCGCGCGCTATCAAGCAGTGAGCGCGCGATGTCCTGTTCAGATGACGTCAAATCCAACGGGATGCCACAAATAAACTACACAGAATCACACTACACACCTACGCAATGATTACATTCAGGCAGACTGTAGAATACAACCTCTTTGGACCATTTATATACTTATTGAAAACAAGCTACAAAATGTAATACCTTGGAAAATGCCGTTTAGTAGCCTAGCCTACTTTTGAATAGCCTTAATTTTCGCTAAATTGATTTATCAACTTTTAATACTTTTTAAGACCCCGCGGACACCCTGTATAGCCTAAGTAGTATCACTGTAACAAAGTCACAGTAGTCATTATATAGTATAGAGTGCAATAAAAAAAATCATTATATAAACTACAAGTATGTGTGATGTCCTGGCTTGGGGAAGCAACATAGTGGTCAGACAAACATCTATATTTTTGTCAAACTTATAAATAAACAAAGGGAAATAGAGGTATCAAAATCAGAGTGCAGCTTTGAATAAATAAAACACCTTCATTCCACAGATGGTTTATTGGGTCCACAGCAGCAGCACGACATTCATTGATATTCACTACAAATCATCAAAATAAATTAACAAACAAATTCAATTCACATTGAGCGTATTTCAGTGCACATCAGTTGTGGAAAGCTTGACTTGAAATAAATATAATGTTCATGTTAATTGTGTTTTAAAAATGATATAAGTAACTTAAGTTCATGATTGGATAAGACAAACCATGAATATTACTCACTAACAACTGGAAATGTCTTCATTTTAATGCTGTAACTGAAGAAGTCCATTTCATGTTTTGCATTTCCTTACCTCAGAGATTATCTGAATGGTCCCTTTGCTCTTTGAATACTGGAGTTAAATATCATTTATCTATCATCCATACAGAATGTGTAATCCTTCATTTCACTTACAAACAGACACAAGCACAAATGTAAACACACACACACACACACACACACACACACACACACACACACACACATTTCACCAATAAATAGCATTTCATAATTTATTTTTGCCCCTGTATCTACAATTGTATCCCTTTAGTGGAACATTTACCCACCTGAAAACGATAGCTCCAGTTTGTGTCTCTTAAGGATTCACATTACTTTGGAAAAATAAATACATCTCATTATTCGGAATGTTTTTCTATCTGGATAACAACCAATCTGTTTGTTGCACAATAAGAGATCTTTAAGGGTTTCCTTTTACAATTTTGTTGATGCGTTGTTATTTAGAAATGTTGATTATTGCCTCTTTTTGTAGAAAGGTGCATCATTTCCACCTGCCATCTTTGTTTGATTTAGTAACCGAAGTTGCAACTTAGGAAAGGACTGAACAATCTGTCCTTGCACCAGACAAATATTTCAGATTTTTAGAAATACCTTAAAGGTGGGGAAGGTAATTTTGGAGAAACCAGCTCGAGTGCGCTAGAATTTGAAAATACACAGCTGGAACAAATCTGCCACTTCCTTACAGAGCCCCTCCTCCAACACACACGAACGCGCACATGACCAATGAGGGCACGAGATAAGTTTGTGCACGAGATGGAAGGCTGACAGGCCGGCTAAAATGATTGGTCGTGCTTTGTACAGTACTACGGCTTCCACAGATGACATTTTGTTATAGTTTTTTTGTCAAAGCACTTAAGATATTCATTGCTATCGGGATGTTAAGAACATTCCATGGAATATAACAAAAAGTGTATCTCGAGCCGGTTTCTCAAATTTACCTACCCCACCTTTAAGAACAGTTTTAATTATTGTTAAAGCTCCTTCTAGATAACACATGATTCCCACTATGACTCAAATGTATACCTGAGACACACAAACTGGGGCTACCTGAAAATATGATTCTTCAGTATCAGGATGCACATTGTAAAGTATACATATGCAGTGATGACTAAACCCTTACTCTGACAACAACACTAGTCTGTATAAGGCCCAACCACAGATGAACAGGGAGTGGAATGTATCGGGTCGGAGTGGAAGCATTGCAATGAGAGAAAGGAGAAGAGATGGAGGGAGAAGAAACAGGGTTGTTACTCTGTGAGGGGCACGGAGATAGCCGGGCCCTTGGGGTCATCAAAGCGGTCCATAGTGTGGAGCTGCATGATCATGTGGAGCCCGTAGGTGAGCACCAGCAGCATGAGGAGGCTGGTTATCAGACCCATCCAGATCCCCGGAGAGAAGAAGCCTGCGCAGTCACTGGCGTACGAGAAGTCACTTCCAGTCACGTTGAAGCCCTGGATCTGTGCAGGGAGAGAGGAAATAATGGGTGAGGGCAGGGAAAACTGAAACAAATTGAGTTAACCATAGTTCAATCCCTCGGTGTGTCCACAAAAACAATATTAGTGGGCCTACCGCGCAACAGACAAGTCAATTATAAAGAAAAAACAACTATATCTTACCTGAAAGTCTGCAAAAGAGACCCTCCACTGATTGGCTGGATCTTTAGATGTGCGTGGGATGAGCACGGGCCAGCGGAAGTTGGTGACGGAGCCGCAGCGGTACGAGTACTCAGCCGGGGCGTAAACATGTCTGCTCCCGTTAAATGTGGCTTTGGTGCCGTCGTACTCCAGCTCCACGGCGTCTAATGTGAACCAGCGGCGCGCGGACACCTTGTAGTGACGCTGGCTCATAACAAAGCTGGATACACACGTACAGAGATGGGGCATTGAAGGTCACAATACCCATTGGGATAACTCAAGTAGAATGTTGAAGGCTTATAACTTATTCTCAACAATACAATGTATATTTGCAAGTGTCATGTCACATATTTGGTCGTACTTACATGAGTTTGAAGCTGCTGTGGCCCAGAACTTTCTCATAATTTAGAACCAACCTGCAAAGAGCCCAAAGAGGAAATTAAAGACAAGACTATTTCAAATACATTATGATGAATGAGGAGATAAGATGACTTTTGTTTTCAGCGAAATACGATCCCTGCTTATGAATCCTGCATGAACTAACGGTATGAACTACCTCGCTTTGGATTTGTCGCAGGTTGAGCCGCCGAGTTTTGGGCTGACTCCCTCTCCAAAGGTGGAGGGGGTGAGGTCGTGCTCTTCCCAGCGCCCGCTCCGCAGGATGCTCACTGACAGGCCTGTGGCCCACAGCATGATACAAGTGTCATCCCCCTCCTGTGGAAAGAGGGACAAAGAAGCAGAGGGCAGGTTAATTAAAGTAATTAGAGTGTAAAGCTGGCATTAATGCATATGTGACCCGCTCTATCGAAATCAGTCGGAAGTCGCAACGGCTCATTTCAAAATAAACGTGGATTTGCCTAAAAAAAATAGTTTTTCGGGGTTCGGGTGTTTTGTTTTTAAATAAAGTCTTGGCTTTCAGAATATGAAACTTTTATTTCCAAAATCACACGATAAATACATTCTTGAAGCTTGTAAAGGGAAGAGACAGCTCTCACTCGCAATCTGCTCTTCCGCAGCGCAGCCCCCCCTCCCTCCCGCTGACATTATGAATGTAAGGAGTATAGTAATCATAGATAACACGGCAGGGTCTGTTACAGTTTGTTTTCATCTGATTTCAAATAAACAAAGTCTTGGCTTTCAGAATATTAAACTTGTTTCGGCAAATTCAGATGATCAATACAACTTTGAAGCTTTTAATTATTAGAGAACGGAATAAATTGTTGTCACAGCAGGCATAACAACAGCCGGTGTTTCTCTGGAGTGTTTTCCCCGGGAAACAAACAATACACAGAAATGCAGAAATGCAAAAACACACACACACACACACACACACACACACACACACACACACACACACACACACACACACACAACACACACACACACACACCACACACACACACACACACACACCACACACACACACACACACACACACACACACAACACCACACACACACACACACAACACACACACACACACACACACCCACACCACACACACACACACACACACACACACACACACACACACACACCACACACACACACACACACACACACACACCACACACACACACACACACACACACACACACACACACACACACACACACACACACACACACACACACACACACACACACACACAAGTAATCCAAACCAAAATATCTTCTCTCCATAGTATTTGATCATTTACTAATAACCAATCAGATCGATGGATTCCAGAGAAGAGGAAACTTTAAAGGCCTTTTTCTCAAAATGAGGACTCGGTGACAGTCATTATATAATGTGACATATTTCGCTTAATATTTGGAGTACAACAACAATCCTGATATCATTAGAAAGCTAGGAATATCCTATTTCCAACAGTGTATACAACTCAAAATGTGTCTTCAGGTCAATGCGACTGATTTCGATAGAGCAGGTCACATATTTACTTATTGTTGACAATTCCAATGAAAAGACCAAAACCAAAAATATTTTAGTCTGTCTTGCGATATCTAAACAGCCTATTAACACTGAAGACAGAAACATTTATAAAAATCACAATTAGTATAGAATCATTTTTAAATATGTCCTAAAACAGCTGGTCTCTATAGTTTATTATCAAATAAAATCGGATGAAATATTGAATTTGTTGGGACCAATTTCCTGCTGCAGAATAATCCACATCTGCAGGCTGCTGCACCCCCGCTGTCTCACGGAGAGATACCGCAGGTCTTTCCTTCCTGCAGCGGTCAGACTTTACAACCAGCACAGCCCCTAGTAGACCCCCCCCCACACACACCACAACACAGACTATATCACCCCTTGCTGCTAAATACCAACAAACTGTGCAATATGTGCTATATATAAATGCCGTTACTAACTGTGTAATATATACCTGGCTGCTAAATCCGTAGAACTGTTACAGGATGTGTATTTTTTTTAAATGATGTAACTTTTTATTTTTTATTATATCATAACTTAGTACTTTTTTTAAATGCATGTCACATATTATGTAACATTAAGCTGTCTGTGGCTCTTTTTCCTGCTGTAACTACGCACATTTCCCCTCCGTGGGACTAATAAAGGTATTCTGATTCTGATTTGGTGCTCTAGGGAGAATTGTGGCATTAGGATGTGTGTGTCCGGTGTTCATAGTAATGAAGGATCATGTCAACCAGTGCAGCTCTAGGACACAGAGGGAGAAGAATATCCGGTGTTGACACATTCACTGCTGTTTTCCTTGGCATTTGTTGGTCAAAGTAAAGTAGGGTGCTTTTATGGCTAAACAAGAACGCCAAGTTCAATTAAAATGCACTAGAAAGAAAAAACTGCACCACTCCACCTTAAACTCCACTGGACCGTAGATCACTTCCTTCTCCTTGATCTTGCGCTGCTTCTCCTTCTCTCTCTCCCTCTCGCGCCATCCACCTCTGGCCTGCAGGAGAGAGCGCCCTCCGCCAACGCCCATTTCCATGGAGAGAGACGCAGCCTCCTGTAAAAAGATAGAAAGAAGATGTGAATAAACTGCAGCAGAAAGGCAGAGATATTTAAACACAAAGAACATAGACTCACCCTGGAGGGCTGCAGGGCTGTGTAGATGGCTGTGTACGGGACAGACTGGGTCTTCATGGTGCTCAACACCTGGCCAATCATCTCATCTGAAAAACACCCAGTTCATCTATTGGCTTGGCATTACCCAACAAGTCATCACATGCAAAGAAATACTGAATGTATTTCAATTTAAAAACAAGTTACAGGTGTGTAGTTATCTGCATTGCTTTAATGCTTTTACTGTTACTTTTAAATGTTCACGTTAATGCATAATGATGTATGTAACTCTCTTTCTCGTTTCTGTACTGGGTCAGACAGACTCACCGTTTCCACTGAGAATATCTTTGGCAGACATCAGATCAGCCCTGCGAGAGAAACAGAGCGAGCAACAAAGAGATATATGTATGAAGAGAAAGTGGAAAGAAGTAAGGGAAATGATTAGCACAACTACATTTAAATGAATTAATAAATAAAGCCCAAACGTCCATTAGCGTTTCTCTCAATCTGATGCTTGCAGCTGCACTCAAAACGCCTTGTGCAGTGATGTTATCATCACTAATACTCAGGGGTTTGTATCCAGTCGATATCACACATGTGGGTAATCTTTGTGAAGCTTTCTTTCTATTTTTGAACCCAAGGAAAAGCATGAAGCTTCAGGGCTTCAAATGAATTACAACAGTGACATCTGCTGGTTTCTAAAAATGACAGCAGCACTTCAATACTGGCGCCAATGTTCTTACAACACCTCCATGTTTTTCAACAATATGAGACTAAAAGCCCCCTCTACATTCCCTTCAGGTGGAGCGGTGTACCTACCCGAAGCCGTACGGCAGTCTGAACACCAGCAGGGCGGGCGAGGAGGCGTTGAGTCTCAGCTGACTCAGTGTCTCAGGATCCATGTACAGAGGAGAGGTGTCCAATTGGTCCTGCAGCTGGCCAATCACTGCATTGGAGGCAGGCCAGGACACAGCAGGTAACACCAGAGGGGAGGACGAGGACCTCAGAGCCCCCTATGGCACACGATGACAAACAAAACATCTGTCAGTGAGTCTACTGTTCATGGTCTGTTTGATTTAAGTGATAGGAGTAGAGAATGAGGGTGAAAAAGATAACATTTGAAAACATTACACTGATTTACGCTGTCAATATCATCATCATACCTCCAGGTTCGGGAAAACACTGTCTTGCTTGTTTCCAAAGGCCCCTCCATACATAGTGAAGTCCTCGATGCTCATCTGGGATGGAAACAAAGAGTAACAAGCAAATCAATCAATTATACCCATCTCCATGTTTCTCTGTGAAGTTAGACAGAAACATGGGGGGTCTATATTAACTCTTATCCTGTTGTTCTTTTGTGGGTTGACAAATGGGACAATACCATATACAATTAGCAAACCAATAATAAAAAAGCATCTTTTGTCTCTTTATCCTATATAATGTCAATGTTACTGGACGGATTTGAATAATATCATTATTATAAATTAGGCATTTTAAAAGTGTGTGTGTACCTTATCCTGAAGGAACAGCACAACATTTCTTGGGCCCACACTCAGAGCTTTCTCCAGGTAGGAGGCCAGCTGCTGCTGCCCCACGATGTGCCCTGCTGTAGGGGGAGACTGACTCGGTACGGAGACCCTGGAGGATTCAAAGCAGCGGTGAAAGAAGTTAGTATTCAGAACATAAAAGGTATATTTACCCATACAATAATGTAAAAGCCTTAAATAATATGTACGGAGATGCCTTTAACATCTTAAAAGTATGGGTATGCAGTTATACTATTACTTCAGTTTTATGAATATATATGCTGTCCTAAATCAAAAAAGGCTCGTGTCATAAGATAAGATGGACCTTTATTGATCCCCTTAGGGAAAATCAGGTGTTATAGCAGCAACAGAATAGAAGAAAAACACAGGTAGTGCACATGAGAATACGCACACGGATATTGAGATGTATTTACAGTATGAATAAAATAACAAAAATACCATGGCTTAAACGCTGATCAGGTGAATGTATGAAAACAGATATATTGAGGTTAAATATACATTTAAATGTGTAGGTTATCCAAATGTGGATGCATTCAAAGGAATGCTTTTAAATGAATCCACTGCAACACAATGCGTATTACTAATAACACTGCTTATCTCTATGACAATACGGAAACAGCTTGCAGGATGACAGGTGATATGGCACCTGCCTTTCATAATAAGGATTACAGGAAAATCCCATGTTACGCTACTATCTTTTAATTATTTAAAACGCCTTTGCAACACTGTATAGTCTGCATCTTACTAAATATTATAGCAGATAACCGTCGATGATAGTTTAACGTTCATCCCAACTGACATTCAGCTAACCGTTAGCTAAACGGGAATAAGAGCGTCAAAGCCCGTTAGCACATTCAACCGCCTCTGTGAGACGAAAAACACGAATGAAACTCAATATTACTCACCCCTCACTTGTCCACATAATAAGCGGCACCTGCTCATCGCAATTTCCCGTATTTAATATGTTCAATAAACCGAGAAAAACGGCCAAACACGCAGAGATGCTGCGGAGCTGCGGTGTCTCTTTCGTCGCCATCTTGACGATCACCCTGACAGCAGCAGGTGACGTGACGTCCAAGGATGTCCACAAAACGTGACGTCGCGTGAGGTCACGTGACGAAAAAAGACGCTCTCTGCAGCATCAATACTGCAATATATGTAGTGGGAGGTCTGCATTCTGCAGTATTTCTTTTTTATTTAAACATAAAACCGTATATGAGCAGTGTCTAAATCAGCTGCATCCAGTGCTGAAAAAGTAACTTTGTGCAATTATTAATTAAGGCAAAATGTATAGGCACTTTTAATGTTATCCTACTTTATTCTTTCATAACATTTTTCGACAGCTTCAGTTAACTTGCAGATTTTGATCACTAATAGGCCACTTACAATGTCTCATAAGTTAAGTTTGTGCCTAAGCTAAGTTTGTGCCTAGAAGTTTATGGAGGTATTAAAAAAATATATGTTACATATGTTTACACATTCATGCATAAACTATTATAAATTAATTATATAACGTACATTATTCTTAAATGGGAAATTGTGCATACTTATTTTGCATATTTTTCCTTTTGGTAATTTAAGGATATACTGATGATAATGCTAAACCTGATGTCATCCAATAGTGGTACAACAAAAGTACGACAAATACTTTACAACTTTAAAATACTTTTTTTTATTTGTTGCTACTTTATACTTTCAGATTCAGATTATTAATAACACATCTGTGATATATAAATGCATCAATAATGAATGCGGAATATTGTTATTTTTACTCTTCAGATTAAGATTGTCCGTTCAAATCATACAAGGATCTTATAAAAGATGATGCAGTGCTTTACTATTAATGTAATATATTTTAATATGACATGATGACGTGTTTTCATTATGTGCGGTTTGGATTCGGAGGTGGGTGTTAGGTTTCTCAACACACAAATCAAATTTAGAAAAGTTGAATATTTATTGGCATTCACATACAGTAGGAAAGAATGGCAATCACAGTAAGGCGATGCATTTGATAGTAACCACAGATCACTAAGCCGTGGCCGATCCTCCCTTATAAGTGATTGATCTCTGTGATAAAAGAAGGTATATACATCTGTAATGATGTAGCATTCACAGGTTGAATGGATCTAAAGAAATTCATCTGGAAAAGAAAGTATCTACATTACTAAAATAAAAATATTTGCAAACTTAATTTAAATGTACAATTAAGGACTAAGAGAGTCATAGGGATATTATGAACATTATAACTTCAGTCGACCCAAAGCGGCATGGACATAATAGAAGCAAATGAATCTACTATCATCATACTACCTTTTCAATTATTTACTCTGCATGCTTAAACTGTAAATATTAACCATGCAGAACAGTGCTGATTAAAAGTCTTCATTAGATTAAGATTTATAAATCTACATCACACTGCATACTAATAAATAGAGTTTAAACAAACACCAGTTTTGTGGGCAAACAGGTTGATTCAACCCTGACGCCAGACAACACCAATATGGATAGATTCTGCTAATGTTGAGAATAAGTTCAACAACTTTTTTTAATTCTTGCGTGTAAAAAGGGCCAATAAACTACACTCAATGTGTAGATTGGATTTTTCAACTAAAACACTTTTACTTAAAAAAACGTTTTACTTTTATCATTGATATAAGCCACTTCCCTGCTCCCGCTCCTTTAGCTGTATCAGAGCAGGATTAAGTTACAGCTGATGCTTTCATTTAAAAGTATTCCGGTGGCACAACACAGAAAAGCTTTTAATGTAATGCCATTATTATGCCACCAAAAGAAACAACTGTAAGTGTGGATAGCAAAAGGCTGCAAAGTCCAACTGCTTTACTCTGTCCTGCTGTTATGTTGAAATATACCTGTGCTGTGAAATCAGACGCCCGTTACTCAAAGTATGATGTAATAAGGCTGATTTCTTCATTTGGCTGCGCTGTAAACGGTTTCACCTGCTTGTCTTTTGTTGTCATTCGTATAGAAAGTAGCTGCTAAACAAGTGCTGTAGTATTACACTTGCTGTTATCACCAGTATCCACAGGGGACTGAATTTAGATTTAGATATTCAAGATCCGAACCTTAAAGTTATAATCATTTTCAGTGACTCCAGTCTGCTCTATCATTTGTTTGCATCTCAAGGACACACTACGTCCTGTATTGTAATCCTGAATTGTACAATCATCCAATGATTATGGTACTGGTGGGAACTGAAAACACATCTGAGCAATTAGAATGACCAGCAATTACGTAACTCTGAAGGTACTACATGCCCAAATGAAGCCGCAAACATTCAAAATCTTTTACTCCTATAACCAATTCAGTGACCGTCTGCTTTAAGGTCACAGCTTTGATAGGTATGAATTCAAGTAACTCAATTATCAAATCTATTCTAAACGGATAACCCTGTTTTAGGATGATAGTGGATCAGAGCCTATTGCAGCAAGCGAATTATGCATTTTGCTATATATAAAAAAAAAAAACACCGATGTCTGCTTTTAAATATTTACAAACAAGTTTTTGTTGCACCAACATGAATTGGAAGTTTTTCCAAAACGTTGCCCAAAATGCAAAGAAAAGTGTGATCATTGGGAATTTCAGAGTGAACGCGTGTGATCCAGTAGAGAAAAAGGAGGGAGTGGAAAATGTGCGGATGGACTTCCAGGAGAAAAGGTGTTACCCTCAGGGGTAGAGGTACATCATGTAGCAGGAGGGACAGCAGGGACTCAGGACTGGGTCTGTATCTGCCCATGGAGGGCCTCGGCCTGGGCTTTCAGGCTTAGAAACTCCTCCTGGATCAAATCAGTCAAGGTCTTCCTCATTTCCATCTGAAAGGAAAATTAAAAGTAAATTATTCTTTAGGTTTCCCTTACCCTACAACAGGGGTGTCAAACTCAATTTCATCACAGGCCACATTCGCATTATGGTTGCACTCCAAAGGGCCGGTTGTATATTAAGACTATATAAAAATACATATATAAATATTTAATATATATATAATAATGCATTATATTACATTATTGCCTCTGCATTGGATTATTATCAGAGAGGGTAATAACTAATTGCAAGTCTCTTCAGTGAGAATGTCACAAAATGATTTAAAAAGAAAAGCACATTCTGGAAAAAAAAGTCAAAATAAAAAAAAAAAAGCATATTTTGAAGCGAAAAAGGGAAATTCTGAGAAAAAGTCAAATTTGAGAAGCATTTTGCTCCATGTATGCGCAACGTGCTTCTGTAAATCGCCATGTAACCATATCATAAACATATTATATTCTTTGCAAGCTCTTGTGGGCCACATTAAATGAAGTTGCGGGCCGGATTCGGCCCCCGGGCCTTGAGTTTGATTCCCCTGCCCTACAACCAATCCACAGCCCTTTTTTTATTAAAAATGTCCTTTATTGATTATCACAATAGCTACATTTCATCATCCGAGTGTTTCAGCTTTACATAAAACATCAAATAATAGCTGTAGCCTTGATCCACTCCAACAAGCAGTTAGTTGCATTTAAATATAAAATGATTTTGACATTTGATCTGCCTTTTCTTGCTTTGTAGCATTTTAAATATAGTTACATCATTAGTGTAATAATTGGATTGTACCATTAGAGGCATTAGTTAGTAGTAGCATGTATTAGTAGTGTGTAAATGTGTAATATGGTCTGTCCTCACCTGGCTCTTGTTTTCGTTACGGAGTGATTCAACAAGGTCTTTCAGACTGAACGGTTTCCCCACCAGGATTGTGATTCTCTGAAATCAAACCAACAGTTACAACTATACTAACATGATAAACTAAAAGTTTTAAAATATTGTTGATTAGCTCTAAGTGTTTCCTACCTTGCCAGTCCGAGGAACATAGGGCTTCTCGTTTGGCAGAACGTCACTCAAACCTGAGACAAAAACACAGAAGGACAAATAATTGGTTTCTTTATGAAGTTCTATCTGCTGATTTCGGACTTCTGTTGTTGTTACTTTATATTACTTTGCAATGTTTGTATTTTTACCCATTTTTAAAAGAATAAGGCTGGGTATATTGGATTTTTCTTGAATGCCAAAAAAACTGATGAAAATATTTAAAATCAACAATATTTTCAGCGGGTACTAAATCCAAATTTGGTGCATTAGGGAACATTTGTAAAAGCAGCACAGTGTTTGTAGGATTAAGTCCAAATAAAAAACAGTGTATTCATGGTAATAAAGTAATGTAAAGTCATTAGTTTTTTACAGATCTCGGACAATAATGGAGATCCATGTCGCAGAGGAGGAAGATATATCAGATGAGTTTATTTCTACATGTTTCTACATTTGTCTTTGACCTCCGCATCTGTTTGTGCTGCAGTGCTGTTACTCACCCACATGCCAGAGTGGCAGGATAACCGGATTAAGGGAGCACTCTGCTATTAGCCGTCCCACACCTAAAACACAAAGCAGACATTTATGAACCACAATCCCTTTCACACTAACTGATTTGGCTCTGTTTATTTTCACAAATGTTAAACGTACATGTGCTTACACTGTATGCAGTATTACACTGTACCGAAGTGTCTGAAGCGTGATTCTAAATGTCTACACACAACTAAAAACCAACGTTTGAATGCTGCACAGCTCTTTTTCCCATGTCTATTCATCCTGTTGAATGTCATCCTGTAAAGGTGGTATTTCTGAAAAGTTGAAGATAAAATAGGGAACAGCTGATTTAATAAAAATGTATGTAACCGGATGATTCACTTAATTCAAGATTTTGTTAAACTACTTTTTTTGGGGGGGTAATGACGTCGTAAAAATATAAACACAAACCATTCGACAATTAGAAAACCTGAACAGAGGATTTAAATGTTAATAAATTGGAAGTGGTCTGAATTGGCTTTGCTCAATTAATTTACAAGTGTTCTCTCAGAAGTTTACAGCTGACTTCGGAAACGAGCAACGGAGAAACATGCACTGCACTCACCCCATTTTAACCGTATACATTCTTCTGTCATGTTGATTTTGCCTGAGGAAAAACAAGAAAGGATTTCAACCAAATGTATAATAAATCAAAAAGCAAAAAAATAAGTAAGTGAGTGAGATGTGAGAAGGAACGTTAAAATACCTTC